AAATCTAGATGAGGGGGAGCTTGGAGACTGTTTCCTTGAGAGATCTCCATACCGGGATCGATCGAAGCCTCCGTGTGAATGTCACGCCGACCGGGAAGGAGATTGAGGTGGGAGCGCCAGAGTAAGAGGCGGAGAGGGAGGGAGGCAGCGGTGAGCCTCCTTGCGTGTCGCCGGGGAGGGAATCGCAGATGACCAAAACTAAGGAGGAGAAGGAGCCGCCGAAGAAGGAGGTGACGTCGGAGTTGGGAATCGAGCCAATAGACACGAGAATCGTGCGAGGAGACCCGCGATCCTCGGTGACTTCCCTTGAAGGGCGAATCAGACATGCGATTTCACGATCTGCGGCTCCGACGTGACGTTGACGGAGAAGGAGAAGAAAGACGGAGGTGGACAACCTCTGTGCGAGTCGCCGACAAAGGAAGTAAGGAAGGGTGGCACGATGAAGGAGATGGAGGACAGCGTCTCGTCTCTTTTGTGCAAACCCTCGCAGCGGCCAACACTCGGGCAAGAACAGATGGCGATGGGCCGACAAACTCAACTTGGGTCGAGTGTGAACAGATGGGTTTGACCAGAGACTTGGGCCAAGCAAGAACCCTACGATGAGCTAAACCTGAACAACAAAGGGATGAGCTGGTTCCAAGAGGAAGATGGGCCGAGAGTTGAGGAGAAGTAGGCCGAGAAAGATTTTTTTTGTGGGCTGAGTCTTATGGAACGAATTGGGCTCAGGGTGGGCTGTTCTTTGAAGAACATGGGTTGGATGAAGAAAATGGTTGGTTTAATGAGTGGGCAGGTGGGCTTTTAAAAGAGCAGAGCCAAAAAGCAATTAGAGAGACATCAAGGCAAGGAAAGAAGAAAATGGTTGGTTCTTAATGATGGACTTTTGTACAAAGAAGCATCTTTGGGTTTCTTAAGATTACGGAGGAGGATGACAACGAAAGAAGGATTAGGGATGTGGGGATCGCTTGAAGAGGCAAAAATTGGGCTCTCAGAAATGAAATTTACCACTCTTGATCAACACAAGAAGGCCAACGCAAGAAGCCCAATACAAGTAGTGAAGCACGATTGGAAGAAAAGGAAGTGCGAGGAGTGGAGGAGACAAGGCACAGTCTATGCGGGAGATAGGGTGAAGAAATCGATCAAGTCGGTTAACCTTGAGGGCAAGGTTGGTCTCAAGGGGGAGGAGATGATAGAAACCTATGGTTTCTGTAATTACTATTAAAATTATGAGGGTTTTATTATTAAGTGTTTGAGTCATATTAGGATAGTCTATTAGGTTTTTCCAGTCTTTCATTATAAATATGTACTTTGCGTTTTATTTAGAATCAATCAAGAAGAATATTAAGAAAACTCTCCTAAACCCTATTCTCCCAATCCTCTCAATTCTCGATCTCCATCCCTCTAAAGGCCTAGGCCGATTCTCTATCTTTCTCTTCTCAAATCCCTAATTCTATTCTTAATCCCTAAATCGCAATTCCCGATAGAATCTTACAAACGGGTTCTATCACGTTTGTGGCATTTGAGCACCATAAAGGGTGGTTTTACGCTAGGTTTGATGTGTGTCAATGTGTTTTAGAGTCTAACAGGTGTAACCAACCCCGGAGTCGAAAGTTGGAAGAAATGGCGCAAGGACCGGGCAAAGAGGATGAATCAACTGCTGTTCATGGTCCAAGCTGTGAGTTCACGGTCGCCAGGACCGTGAACTAAAGCAACAAACCGCGAACTGAAGGGAGTCCAAAGAGGCTTCTCAAGTTACTGAAGCCATGGACCACTAACTCAACAAATGAAAGCGGTGCGTTTTGGCTGTGTTCACGGTCCATGCTAGATTTTCACGACCGTGAACTGGGACCGCGAACTGAGCTCGATCAGTGTATAAAAGGAGAGCTGAAAGGAAGAAGAAGAGAGGAACCCAAAGTGAGAGAAACCTTCTTCTTCTTGAAACCCTAGAGAGAGAAAGTCACGAACCAAGAGGAGAAGAGGCTTGGGTTTGCTCCAACTCAAGAATTGGGAAGTTCCTCATCAAGGGAGGATCTCTACAAGCACAAGGAAGGTTTGAGGCATCACAATGATGGTTTTTTCCTTTTTTCTTTGTGTTCTTCCTTCTTCTAGCATGGATTAGTCTCCTATTCACTTGGGTGTTGTGGAACCCTAACTTCTACCATGTAGTTGATTGTGTGGATTGAATGATTGTGTGTGAGTGATGTTTAATTTAAAGTTTTGAGCTATTGTGCAACCCTAAGCTAGCTTAGAGAGAAGCCCTCTTTCCTTAAGAGGCTCAAATTGAGCTGGGTTTTCTTAGGCATTCCATGCCTCCTAACTAGGTTAATGTAAGACAAACCTCTAAACTCAAGTTAGACATCTTGGTTAATTGTGATTAAGCCGTCCAAACCCTGGTTTGAGGGAGAAGGTAAGTCAACCCTCTTTTGCTTGGGCCGAGAGGGCTTCTTTCGTAGCCTATAATGCATTCCTTGGCCTAGCGATTGAGAGTATGGTTTCCAACCACTGTTGCTCCTCCTTTAGTTCGCAATCGCCTTGTCGCACTCCAATTCATTCGATCCCATAGTTCATGGTAGTTAGTTAGGGGAAAACAACTCCCAAGTGAAGCTTCTCACCAAGAGTTTCAACCCCTTTTACTTTTCAAGCCTTGCATTTTTAATCATAGATTGTAAAGATTATTTCAAACCTCATTCCGTTAGATAATGTTTCAAACAATTGAAGTAGGGGTACATGGACCGTCCCGGGTTGATATTTAAACATACTTGCCCTATATTGCACCCATTTAAGGTTTATACTTGAGCCTTTGGTGGGATTTAAGTGTGATATTGATGACTTGATATATACACATGTTTTTGTCCACCATTCTTACACCGTTTGAGTCTTATTTCTCGTGTTTTAGGCCGATTTCAGGCTAGGTTGTTCTTGTTTGTGATATTTCAGGTCCTAGTACGTGAATGAAGGTATGGGAACGAGTTTGGGGTCGATTGGACGAAGATTGGACGTTTGGCAAGAAGCTGAAGAAGCCACACGGGCACGCCTAAAATCCCACACGGCCGTGTGACTTGGCCGTGTGGCACCATTTTGCACGGGCAAGCCACACTGGCCGTGTAGGGGACCCTTTGTGGCCGTGTGGAAAGTCCAGGGAGCTCACACGGGCAGCCTGGAAATCAACACGACCGTGTGGTTTTGGCCGTGCAGCATGCCTGGAAGTCACTTAATCGAAACTCTGTGTTTTGAGAGCCACCCGGGCAGCTGGGATTTCGACACGGTCGTGTGGTCTGGCCGCGTGGTCGGGAATTTCTGGGTTTTAACCCAATTTCGGGCCAAAAGTGTGAGAATCGACTTTTTGGGAGCAAAAACAGAGCCCTGGAGAGAGAAAGTGCGAAGAACACATCCTAGAGGTGATTTTGGAGCTGGGTTTCTTCAATCGAGCTTGGAGATCATCACAGGAGTGAAGATTGATATCCCAGAGCAGATTCTTCCCATTATTATGAGTATGACTGCTTTGTATTCTGTTTCCCTCTCTCTCTCTCTACGGAGTAGAACTTTCTCTCACTTGGGTATGAAGAACCCTAGTTCCATGTGTTAGGGATCTTGATTGTAATGACTTGGGATTGTTAAACTGTTTGGTTTTAATCGAATGATGCATGATTCATTGAATCAATTGAAGTCTGATCATCTTTTCTTGATTTCTGCTGCAACCTGTGATAGATAGAATGTGATTAGGTTGTTAGAGCTTCATCATTCGGTAGTGGTAGATTGGTTATACGAGAGTTAATCAATCTACTGCTTTGTACCGGAACCCAATTCCAGTAGTGGAGTTCTGTGCTTATTGCCTCAGCAGTCTATCCCGGTGAAGGTTGGTCGCCTGCCGGTCAGCCTGCCTGAGAGGGCTTGGTCAGCTTAAGAGATTCCAAGCTAAATTAGGATCTTCCGTAGTTTAATCAACAGTAAATCAACCCAGGGTAATTACAACTGAGACCTAACTAAGGAGCTAGGGGGACTCATTCCCGAGTAACTCTTCCTTTGCTTTAGAAAACCGAACAAATTCCTGCTTTCTTACAGCTTTAATTAAAATCAAAACCACTCAACTTAGTTTGCTAGATAACAGATATTCACGGAGTAGGCAGTAGATCTAGACCCCGGGTTGACAATTATAGCTTGCCTGTTATTGCATTTTCGGACTGCGATTTCACTTGGTCGGAGTTTGGTGTTGTGTTTTAGCGTGTCAGATATTCGGAGCGAGTCACGCGCATGACTGGCTCGGGCGGCCCATTGACTCGACCCGTTGGCCTTGTCCCCGTCCTAGCACTCGGTCGTCCTACGCTCGGGGATCTCCTCCTGTCGTCTTCAAGGTTTCCCACCCCTAGATTTTACCATGCTCCACTAACCATCGGAATTAGCGTGTCACGATAACGATGCTCCTCACCTACGAATCGGCTTGCCTTTCGTGGAGACAACTCAGGAGTTGGAAAGGGCGGTGGTGGCATCTAGGCTTCAATACTCCCGCGTCCCCCCTTCGGCATCCACTGCTCCTTTGTGGCTGGTTATTTGAGCTTCTCGTATGGATCAGGTCAACCGTCTCACTTCACCTTTCTTCGTTCCACCCTTGCCTTGGATTAAGACGGCGAGGCTCTTCCCATGGGTGTGGATGAGGTCGACGATGCTTTCCATCCGTTGTGTCATCACCACAAACTTTGCCACCATCTGCCTGACTTCCACTTGGAGGTCATCCTCCCATGCTCGAGGTTCAGAATCTCGGAATTGCTGGTTGACATCCTCCTTGGGCATCTCTAGAGTGAACGAAGTCAAGTTCTTCTATGGGGGCGTCCCTCCTAGTTTTGACAAACCAAATTCTGATACCAATTGACCAATAATTGATTCACAAGTCGGAAATTAATTTACTATTATTCCAAAATTTATTCCAAAATGTAGATACGAAGTACACATTTGTAAGACTAAGCGTATAAATCTTGTCCCTCGTGAGCAACTAAAACTAATCCTAACCCAATTGTTAAACAATATCTTCCTTAACAAGAAATAATAATAATAATAATCCCAAATAAACCAAAATAGTATTCCTATTAACATAATAATAATAATAATAATAATAATAATAATATATTATAATTAAAATACAAGGGAGAAGAAAAACTTGTTGATTGTTGACGATGTTTTCTTGTCTTTTTCTCCTCATTTTTTTTTAACTGCTTTTTCTCCTCCTTATTACTACTAGGCTAATACAGCAAACTTGCGTGGAAACAAATAATAATATAAACACAAACAATCAAAAATCCTAACCTCTGCTGATAACTATAATCCTCCATCGTGGCTAAAGATAAAGAGAGAAAAGAAAAACTTGTATACAGAGAGAGCTCAATTACTTAATTCAGTTCCTTCCATGTCAAGGTCTTGGTGATTAATCACTTTACTGACCCAGGACTAGGAGCAAAGCAACACAACCGATGCTGCTGCTTCTGCTTCCCTCTCTGCAAGCGGCTACCAGGTAAAGCAAACCGTCTCTGCTTCTTCTTCAATCCCTCTTTATTCCGCAAAGCATTTTCGTTCATGCCATTTACGACGTCCCTGGAGGCTAGTTTATCATCCTCATCGTCTCTAATCTGGTCCATTACTATGGCTTCATCTACAGTATTATTCCCAGTCTCACTCGAAACTTGCTTAGGATTGGAGACGAATGGTTCTGGTGATGCTGGTGCTACTTTTTTATAGTTATATTCCCTTGTGACAGAGCTTGTCGAATGCCTGCGGGAAATGGGATAAGTTGCAATCCAGTTAACCTGTTAGATCAATCAAAGCAATAGCAATACGTGTTCGGAAAACTGGGATCTGGGGTTCATAAATATGAGTACCTGGCATAGGAACAGGATGAACCGTTCTTGGAATCATCAGCATCTGGAGGCAACCCATCGTCCTTTTTTGTAGAATTTGAATCCTTTTCTTCTGCACCCTTTTCCAGATTGGAGGTCTCTTCATTAGTTACAGGAGTAGTAGATGATGGCCTCACTACAGCATTAGATTCAGATTTCCGAACCATGGAGATGGCCCTCTCTAAAATTTCTAAAGCTTGTTTTACCTCAGGTTTTATAGCAATATAACCCTTTCCTGCAATTTTAATGGTTGAGGCAGAGGGTTGACCTATTATACCTTTGTCAACATTCTGCAATTGCCCCGTAGGTTCGGTATCTTCTTCCATGCTCTCACCAGAATGATTACTTCTTTCAACTCTCTGTTCTGCACTTCTGATTACATCTCCATCTAACAGGTAGCCGCTTCCTTCACTCCCGTATTCTTCAATCTCATTTACTTCTTCTTTTGCTACATCATGTGCTCTATCTGGCAAACACTCATCTCCATCATTTTCATCAATGTTTTCTTTTCCTTCCGTGATCTGATGCTGGCTGTTGGCTGCATAGATAGCATCTCTCATTCGAACATAGAATGGATCGTCCAAAGCTCGGATGTATTCTTCATCATCCTTATATAATGCAGTTACTGCCTGTGACAAACATTCATTCATGAAATAGGGAGATGGTTGAGGTACTCAAACGTAAAGAAAAGCATCCTGGGAAAAACTTGTTCAACCTTCTGATAAAGCTTGAAACCACTCCCAATGAGCTGTCTTGAGATAAAATTTATGAGAGCTGGAGGAACGAAGTCAATCTTCAGGTCCACAGTAGCTATAGTCCTGCAGGAAGGTCATGGTAGCACAAATTATGAACAACAGAAAACACAGATCTTACAGCGAATCGTTGAGACAAAATAATTAGATATTGAGCTAGCACCAATGTGGAACTTCATTCAAGTTCGAGGTAGTCGGACCGAGCGTTGAACAAAGAAGTTCAAGTTGAATAACTAAGAAAAGAAGAGTCCGTTTTTCACTCCTTATAAACGTAGTCTGTTTTCAAAGATTTTCATATTAGTGAATCCTGGAAACAGCAAAAAAAAAAAAAAAAACTCACCGGAAGTAACTTCTGGTTGGGGTAACCTTCTGTAAAGCAAAGCCACCAACCAATTCCGCTCTTACCACATCTTGAGCTTCAGGTATTCCATCCTTGGTATAACCATGGGTATTTATATCAATGGCCTCCAAGTCAGGGACCTGAAACCAATTTTTTCAAGGCCTAAGTTTCCCAATCTTTTAGTTCCATCTACAATCAACTTGACTCCCAGAAATTGAGATGATTACCGTATTCATAAGAACGATAATTACCCCCTCCTTGGGGTACTCAAATAAGACATAGTGAATTACAACCTCCCTAGCTTGCAGCGGCCAGGCAACTTTCACCCTTTTCATGTAAAATGTTTCAGATAGAGGTGTGAAAAAGAAAGAGGTACATCAGATGCGGGATTCAGATGAAAGTAACCAAAATGAGCAAGTGGCTTCCAAGAAGCTGCTTACCTCACTAAAGATATCTGTTCGCCTATCCGAATCCTTTTTAAGCATTTGCAGACTGCAATCTTGAAAGGCGGCATAATCACCTGCGGCCACCTGCAGAAAAAGAGAAACAAATCACAATGAACAACAACATACACCAGTAAGTTGGTAAGTTGATGCAAGTAGCGCAGCAGCTAGCACCTAACTTTTAGTAAGAGAAAAAAGGCATTCCTCACCAAGGGCCTTTCTTCACCAACTTTTTGACGCTGCAAACCGCATCATTCATTATTCAGCCCACTGACATGGATTTGCAGAAAATATAAAGAGAAGATAGAACATCGCCTTACCATTTCCTGTACAAAGTGGACTCCCAACCGATGCATAAACCTACACCATTCCAGTAGAACGAGTTCATCACTGGTGCTTTAGATAAGTTTTTTTTTATTGGCCAAATACCTAAGACAGACAAACTTACATGCATCGACAGGACCATCAACATAGCCTTCCACAAGCAATGTGTGAAAGGGGGTGCCCTGAAGTCCTGGGCGATACATAACGCGGTACTCTTGGTTATTGTCCTTAACCTGTGTAACACAAAATAAGAAGCGCCCGAAGACATAATAAGCTCATTTTCCATGTCATAAATACAAGTTAAATAACCTGAAAGCAAGTGAGCTATCTAGACCATACTTTCCATTCACCAGATGGTGGCTCATTTATTTTGGATGGCTCTTTCCCACTACTTGAGGCACTCCTTAACATGTCAAGAAAGTTGGACACATCAGCAGTTCTTTTCTCCACCAGATTCTCACTGCAAGCTACAGAATCAGCAGAAAACACCGCTAAATTTAGACTAGCGCTTTCTCAGCGTGAAATCAGCAGCACAGCAAGAAACACCTTCACATTTCAGAAATGCAACAGCAAATAAGGCAAACTAAGATAAAACCTAACCTTCACTCTCATCGGTTCTAGACTGTAGCATTTGATCCCTGACGAGGGATTTAAGAGCTTCATGATCTGTGAGTTCAGGAGATGCCAAAGACTTGTCCAACTTGGCTCTATACAACGAGATTTCCCCTTTCTTGTCCATACTTTAGCCTCTATGAATCAATCAACCGATTCTCTCAAACTCTGCCTGTCATGAATGATTCCAGTCATTTCCTGAGCTCAATGTAACGAGAAACACGTGAAAAGCTTTTGCCACAGGAACAGTTCAACAGCAATAATCATATTGCAGCCATACTTTCCATTTCTAGGATCTATTCGATATTGCAAAAAACATCTGCAGCCTGAAATGGTGAAATATGTAAATCATGTTTGAAAGAATGGTCCCCCAGTCAAACCCCCCAAAGTTAGATCATCACCTGATTAGGCAAAAATCTTTGTGAAACCAGAAAACAATACAAGATAGAGCAGAGGATTAACAAACTGCGCCCATCTTTTCATTCACCAGAACATGAAAATAAGAAGCTGCTGCACAATAAGGAGAAAGATGATATATTTTCATTGAACTTCGACTCACCTAGAATCCTTTATATATACCAAAACCACCTAAGTTGAGCTCTCAGAAACCAGAACGCGACCCAGCACTTGAAATCATAGATGGATCCAACCCCGGAACGACCGACGCAGAATTTATGCCGAACCCATCATTCTTATTGAGACAAGAATCCATATTTCACTTGCGCCCATACGGGATGACTAGCTGCCAACCCATGTGAGAGTCCTCGTTCTCGTCCTTGTTACAGAGAGAGGGAGAGAGGGAGTGAAAAGCACAAGAAATCCCCTTTCTGCCAACGAAGGATTCAGCACCGAAACCAAGGGGGGAAAGTAATTATGTAAGCTGCTCTATCTTTCTTTTCTTTACCTCTGCACCCAATTCAGAGCCAGCTGGCTTGTGCGGGGAAATTCAGGGCGGTAGGGCCGAAGAGGTAGGTGAAAAAGGAAAGACACTAGCTTTGTTATCTTCCCTGGATATCAATTCATAATTCCTGGGTTTTAGCATCAAAAGGGTAATCTGGTTTCTGGCACTTTCTGATGGATCAAAAACAGATGACAACTTTCCCAATAAAAGTATTTGACTTGGGGGATTAAATCATTCAACCAGTTTTCAAAGGCTTTGAATGAGGAGGTGGGGGAGGATGAGCTGTTTGTTTCCAACTTCAATTAGGCAGTTGGGTAAGGGTTGGGGCAGCCGTGCCGTGTGATGACTGATGATTGACTCTTCTGTCTAGAAGATTAGTATTAGCAGTGGGAGACCTTCGTTAAATAGAGCTCAAATGACGACTTACTTACAACAGTTTCATATTAGAGCTGAAAGAGACTCGTCAGTCTGTCATTATAAACCACAATGAGCACCGGTCGAGCTCTGCTAGCGGCTGATTGCTTCTTCACACCCTCCGCACCAAGTTCATTAAAGCAGGGTAAAGCTAAGAATTTGAGTATAGAGGTTTTTCATATTCAATTCCTTCAGCCTTTGAAATTGACGGTCAAGCTCCATTTTTTAGCTGGTTCGAATATGAATTTCACCTTTCCTAGAGAGTCGATGCATTCAGATAAGAAGAGTAGAGAGTAGGTAGTATAAGGGTAAACAGCTCATGAACTCTGTCCGCTACATATGTTGGTACTTGGTAGGCTGGTTTTCTTGCCTTCATAAAAGGTGCTCACACAACTCGAATAAAACGGTGCATTAATTTGTTGTCATGAGGAGTATACGTGGGCAGTGG